GGAAAAAGGGGAAAATGGGGAAAAAGGAAAGGAAAAAAGGGAAAGGGGGGAAGGAAAAAAGGGGGAAAGGGAGAAAAGTGGGAAAAAAGCAATAAAAAGTAGAGAAAACCAAGAGAAATGAGTGAAAAATAAAGGGAAAAAGAAAAGGGGAAAATGGGGAAAAAGGAAAGGAAAAAAGGGGGGAAAGGGGAGAAAAGGAAAGAAAAAAGGAAAAAGGGGAAAAGGGAAAGGAAAAAGGGAAAAAACGGGGAAAGGGAGAAAAGTGGGGAAAAAGCAATAAAAAGTAGAGAAAACCAAGAGAAATGAGTAAAAAATAAAGGGAAAGGGAAAAGGGGAAAATGGGGGAAAAGGAAAGGAAAAAAGGGGGAAAGGAAAAAGAGGAAAAAAACGGGGAAAGGGAGAGAAGTGGGGAAAAAGCAATAAAAAGTAGGGAAAACCAGGAGAAATGAGTGAAAAATAAAGGGAAAGGGAAAAAAGAAAAAAGGGGAAAAAGGAGGAAAAGGGAAAGGAAAAAAGGGAAAAAAATGGGGAAAGGGAGAAAAGTGGGGGAAAAGCACTAGAAAGTAGAGAAAAACAGGAGAAATGAGGAAAAATAAAGGGAAAGAAAGGGGAAAAGGGGGAAGAATGAAGGGGGCGAAAGGGGAAGAGAAGGAGAGGAAGGGGAAGGGGCGGCCCCAGGGGCCGGGTCCCACTCACCTCGGGGGGGTTCCCGCTCCGGCGCTGCTCTCGCCCCTTTCCGGCCCCATTCCCACTGCCGGGAATGCGGAGCCTGGAAGCGGTGGGAAGGGAGTGGGGGAAGGAAGGGGAGGGTCCGGAGGGAAAGGGGCCGGAGAGCAATGGGATGGGGATAACGGGAATGACGGGAATGAAAGGAATAATGGGAATAACGGGAACGATGGGAATAATGGGAATGCAAGGAATAACGGGAACAACAGGAATGACGGGAATAACAGGAATGATGGAAATAATGGGAACAACGGGAATGATGGGAAAAATGGGAATAATGGGAATAACAGGAATGACGGAAATTATGGGAAAAACGGGAATGACAGGAATAACGGGAATAATGGGAATAACGGGAATGAAAGGAATAATGGGAACATCAGGAATGATGGAAATAATAGGAACAATGGGAATAATGTGAATAACAGGAATGACGGAAATAATGAGAACAACGGGAATGACAGGAATAACAGGAATAATGGGAATAACAGGAATGGGAATAACGGGAATAATAGGAATAATGGGAATAACGGGATCAATGGGAATAACAGGAATAATGGGAATAATGGGAGAGGTTGGGATGGGGCAATGCAGGGGGAGAAAGTGTGGAGATACCGAAATATGGAGAGATCAAATGTTGGAATATCAAATACTGGGATATCAGATATTGGGATATAAAATATTGGAATATCAAATATTGGGATATTAAACTACTGAAATCCAAAATCTTGGCATATCAAACATTGGGATTACAAACGTTCAGGTATAAAAATAATCAGAAATTAAAATTTTCCAATCTAAAATACTGAGGTGGAAAAAGATTTAACAGAGGAATTTGAAGTTGGGAAAAGATTCCAAGATGGAAACAGAAAAACAAGATTTGGGTGGGGAAAATGGGATAGCAAAATATTCCAAAATATATTGGAATGGAATGGGGATGGGAATAGGGATGAGGAATGGAATGGGGATGAGGAATGGGAGTAGGGATGAGGAATGGAATGGGAATAGGGATGAGAAATGGAAAAGGAATGGGGATTGGAATGGGAATAGGGATGAGGAATGGAATGGGAATAGGGATGAGGAATGGAATGGGGATGGGAATGGGGATGAGGAATGGAATGGGGATGGGAATGGGGAATGGAATGGGAATGGGGATGAGGAATGGAATTGGGATGGGAATAGGGATGAGGAATGGGATGGGGCCAGAGCCTCCTCCCACTGCTTCCCTTTGTCCGGGCCTTGCTCCTGCTTTGTGTCTCCATCGCAGTTTGTTTCCCATCAGCTCCTTCCTCTTCCTCCTCTTCCTCGCAGTGGGACGGGGCCGGGGGGGGGGGGGGTACCAGGGTGATTCCCCCCCCCCAATGGGGTTGGTTTTCCTGGCTTTGGGAAGCAGGATCCCACCCACTCCCATCACCCCCCAATGGCTCCATTACTCCCATCACCTCCATCCCCCACAGCTCTCATCCCAAGCCTCCAAATCCCTTCCCAAACCCCAAATTCTCTTCCCAAACTCCTTTTCCCAGCCCCAAACTCCCATTTCCAACTCCAAATTCCCTTCCTAACCCCAAAATTCCCATCCCAAGCCCTACATTCTTTCCCAATTCCAAAATCTCTTCCCAAGCCTCTCATTCCCTTCCCAAATCCCTTTCCCCAGGCCCAAAATCCCATTTCCAGCCCCCAAATCCCATTTCCAGCCCCAAACTCCCCCCCCCACGGAGGACCCATCCCAGCTCCCATGGCCACTACCCCCCTGCCAGGGATGCTCGCAGCACCCTGGGCTTAGTTTTTCCCTTCTAAAAGGTCTTTCCCCCCTAGAAAAGGGCATTTCCCCCTCCAAAATGCCCCCTTTTCCCCTAAAAGGGGTCTTTTCCCTTCTAAAAAGGCAATTCCTCCCAGGAAAAGGGCTTTTTCCCACCTCTAAAGGGCCTAAAGGGGTGAGTGTCCCCTATCTGTTCCTTCCCTCATGCCGCACATCCTGGTCCTGTGCATCCCCATCCATCAGCATCCCAATCCCACTCATCCCAACCCCTACAGCTCTCCTCATCGCGCCCATCGCACCCTGCATATCCCAACCCATCCCATCCATCCCAGTTCCTCGTATCCCGATCCCGCACATCCCGGTGCGGGGCCCGCAGCTCTCTGCCTCTCTCTAGTGGCTCCTTCCCGCAGAGCCAGGATCAGGACAGGGAGGGAAGGACGGGATGAAGAGGGAAAGGAGGGAGGGGAGGAGGGATGAAGGGGAGGGATGGATGGGAATGGGATGTAGGGGATGGATGGAGGAAGGAGGGAGGGATGGATGGGAATGGGATGGAGGGATGAAGGAGATGGGATGGAAGGATGGATAGGGGATGGGATGGAGGGATGAAGGGGATGGGATGGAAGGATGGAAAGGGGGTGGGATGGAGGGATGAAGGGGAGAAAGAAGGAAGGAATAAAGGGAAGCAATGGAGGAATTAAGGGGATGGATAAGAGGGAGGGATGAAGGGGATGGGATGGAAGGATGGAGAGGGGATAGGATGGAGGGAACGCTGGAGAGCAGGAAGGAAAGGAGAAGGAATGAAGGGAAGGGATGGAGGAATGAAGGGGATGGGATGGACAGAAGGATGGATAGGGAATGGGATGGGGGGATGAAGGGGAAAAAGAAGGAAGGAAGGGAAGGGATGGAGGAATGAAGGGGATGGAGTGATGAAGGGGATGGATGGATGAGGATGGAAGGATGAAGGGGATGGAATGGACAGAAGGATGGATAGCAGATGGGATGGAGGGCTGGAGAGCAGGAAGGAAAGGAGGGATGAAGGGAAGGGAGAGATGGGATGGAGGGACGAAGGGGAGGAAGAAGGAAGGAATGAAGAGAAGCAATGGAGGGATGGGATGGAGAGAGGGATGAAGAAGTCTTCACTCCCAGCATCCACCAGCAATTCCCATTGGGAACAGGAATGGGAGCCACCATGGCCTGGCTCCAACTGCATTAAATACACCCCCCCCCGGGTCCCCCAATGACAACACCGAGGATGGGGTCCTCAGGACACGTTTATTACGGGGGGGGTACAGACAAGGTGCTCCCCCCCCCGTGCCTCAGTTTCCCCTGGTGAGGGCGAGCAAAGCACCTTAGAAAGGGCTTAAATCGCTGAAACCCCCCAAACCAGCCCAAAAAAGGGAGGGGGTTGAAGGGGAACAGAACCTGGAAGATTCTTTAGTGTTGAAGTGGGGCTGAGCATGGGGAAACTGAGGCACAGAGATCCCCCCCCCCATGCCCTAAACAGGCCCAAAAGCAGCTTCCAAGTGGGAAAACTGAGGAATGGAGCCATGAAATCCCAATTCCTGCATCCCAGCCTTGCTCTCAGTAGGAAAACCAAGGGATGGAGCCATCCTCCATCACCTAAAGATGCCCTAAATCAGCTTTCAGGTGGGAAAACCAAAGCACGGAGCCATTAAATCCCAATTCCTGCATCCCAGCCTTGCTCTCAGTAGGAAAACCAAGGGAATGGAGCCATCCTCCATCCCCTAAAGATGCCCTAAATCAGCTTCCCAGTGGGAAAATCAAGGCATGGACCCATGAAATCCCAATTCCTGCATCCCAGCCTTGCTCTCAGTGGGAAAACCAAGGCATGGAGCCATGAAATCCCAAGTTCCCCATCCCAATCCCACTCTCAGTGGGGAAACCGAGATATGGAGCCATTCTCCATCTCCTAAAGATGCCCTAAATCAGCTTCCAAGTAGGAAAACTGGGGCATGGACCCATTAAATCCCAATTCCGGCATCCCAGCCTTGCTCTCAATGGGAAAACCAAGGCATGGAGCCATCCTCCATCTCCTAAAGATGCCCTAAATCAGCTTCCAAGTGGGAATCTGAGGCACAGACCCATGAAATCCCAACTCCTGCATCCCAGCCTTGCTCTCAATGGGGACACTGTGGCACAGAGCCATCCTCCATCCCCTAAAGATGACTTAAACCAGCTTCCAAGTGGGAAAACCGAGGCAAAGCACCACTAAATCCCAATTCCCCCATTCTAATGCTGCTCTCAGTGGGGAAACTGAGGCACAGAGCTATTCTCCATCCCCTAAAGATGATTTAAACCAGCTTCCAAGTGGGAAAACCAAAGCATGGAGCCATGAAATCCCAGTTCCCACATCCCAGCCTTGCTCTCAATGAGGAAACCAAGGCATGGAGCCATCCTCCATCCCCTAAAGACGCCCTAAACCAGCTTCCCAATGGGAATCTGAACCACGGACCCATTGAGTCCCAACTCCTGCATCCCAACCCCACTCTCCTTGGCTTCACTGCTTCCCAGACCCGCCCCCGTGCCCCAAAGCCTCTTCCAATCCGGATCCCCCCGTCCCAGCGCTCTGTCCTCGCCCTCCATCTCCCTCTTCCCCTTCCTCCCCACGCACCCCCAGCACCTCCAGCACCCCCAGTTCCCGCAGGCGGCTCAGCACCATTTGCTCCCATTCCCGGTTGGCACGGGGGTTGCGGGGGGAGGGATGGGGCAGCCCCTCCACCCTGACCCCATCCCCATCCCCACCATTAAGACCAGCGGCCGCCAGGGCCCGGCGCACGCGGTGCTCGGTGAAGCGGCCCAAAGCCAGCACCAAGCGGGCGCTCAGCACCCGCACGGCCTCCACCAGTGCTTGGTCACAGAGCTCCAGTAACGGGGCCCGGTGCTGGGGGGGGAGGTCGCTGGGGGGGACGTTGCGCCCGGAGGCGCTGAGGAAGAGGAGGGGGCAGTGGTTGTGGACGAAGCAATGGGTGAAGAAGCGCTGGGGCTGCGGGCACAGGCGCCGGATGAGGCCCCAGAAGCGGGCGCCGCTCACCTCGGAGCGGGGGCAGCTCCAGCCCAGCACCGGGCGCTTGGGGTGCTCTGGATGCGGGCGCTGAACCCCCCCCTGCACCTGCAGCCAGTCCCGTACGGCCCGGACCTCGCCGAAGGGCACCTGAAGAGGAAGGAAGAGAGAGGTCAAGGGAGGGGGAAGGAACTGGGAGCCATTGGGAATGGGGGTGGGAATGGGGAGGGAGCCATTGGGAAGGGGGGTGGGAATGGGGAGGGAGCCATTGGGAATGGGGAGAGAGCCCTTGGGAATGGGGAGGGATCCATTGGGAATGGGGAGGGAGCCGTTGGGAATGGAGGCAGGAATGGGGAGGGATCCATTGGGAATGGGAAGGGAGCTGTTGGGAACTGGGGCAGGAACGGGGAGGGATCCACTGGGATTGGGGATAACCCTAACCCTAACCCCCCCCCAGAGATGCACTGGGACCCCCATAAGGAAGTGTTGTGCCCCCCCAATGGCTCAGTTTCCCCACAGGGCTGCAGTGGGACCCCCATAAGGAAGCGTTGTGCCCCCCCATGCCTCAGTTTCTCCATAGGGATGCCCTGGTCCCCCATAGGGCTGCACTGGGACCCCCATAGGGATGCCCTGGCCTCCCATATGGATGCCCTGGTCCCCCATAGGGCTGCATTGGGACCCCCATAAGGAAGTGTTGTGCCCCCCAATGGCTCAGTTTCCCCATACGGCTGCACTGGGACCCCCACAGGCCTGCATTGGGATCTCCACAGGGGTGCCCTGGCCTCCCATATAGATGCCCTGGTCCCCCATAGGGCTGCATTGGGACCCCCATAAGGAAGCGCTGTTCCCCCCAGGCGCACCCCGGTTTGGGCCATGCCGAAGGGCCCCGGGTTCATGCCCACGAAGAGGACGCGCTTGGGCCCGCGGCAGAAGGCGCGCACGAAGCGGCTGTGGGGCTCCCAGGCATACTCGAGGGGGCGGTACACGTGAGTCACGGCCGGGCCCGGCGGCGGCATCGCCCGCAGCAAGCGGCTCTGCTTCTGCTCCAGCCACAGGAACCGCTCGGCCACGGCCCCGGCCTCATCCGGTTCCGGTTCTAGTCCCGGTTTCAGTTCTGGCTCGGGTCCCAGTCCCGGTTCCGGTCTCACTTCCGGTTCCGGAATCACTTCCGGTTCCGGTCCCAGTTCAGCTTCCGGCTCCGCCTCCATGCTCTGCCATAGCTCGGGCCTGCGGGGGAGGGCATGGGGTAAGGAGGTGGGGGGGGGGGTGTGTGTGGGGTGAGACTGCCCCACAGAGCAGGGCTCGGCCCCATAAGTGCCCCCCCTCCTTTACCTGCCCCATAGGGACTCCAGTTGCCCCCCCCTTTACCTGCCCCACAGCGTGGTCGTGCCCCATAGGGACTCCAATTGCCCCCCCCCCCCGGGCACCTTTACCTGCCCCATACCGCGATTCTGCCCCACATGGACCCCCAACTGCCCCACCCCCCCTTCCGAGTCCCTTCTGACGTCACACGTCGCGCCATGACGTCACGCCGCCGCACCGGGGCCTACCTGAGCTCCGCGCCGGGCCGGGCCGCACCGGCCTCACTTCCGCCCCCCCCGCCCAGTGACCTCTGACCCCAGCGACACCGCCGCGCGGTGCCTGCCGGGAGCTGAAGTCCGCCGCCTTCCCGGCGTGCCCCGCGCGCGGCCCTTTGTCTACGCGGGAGAGGGGTGGTGCGGGGAACTTCCCGTGGTGCTTTGCGACGGGAACGCACCCCCCCCCCTTAAGGCCAAGAAAGGGGCGTGGCCTCAACAAGCACCGCCTCTCCATCGCCTTTCCCGCGCCTACGGTGGCACTATGGCGACCCCTGGCGGCGGCGCTCCCCCGCGCCGCGGCCCCCCCCTTCACCAGCCCCCCTCACCCCGGGACCCCCCTCCCCGTTACCGAGCAATGGGGCTCGTTTGTGCCCCCCCCGACCCCCAAGCACCGTTATGGGGGTGCAAGACCGAGCCTCGGCCACCAGATGGCACCAGAGGGGCTCAAATGGGGGACACCCCCCCCCATGGTCCCTAAAGGTAATGGGGGGGGTCCCTATTAGGGGCTGTTGTTTACCCCCCCATGGTCCTTAATGAGGGGGGGCCCTATTGGGGTATAGGCCTAATACAAGGGGGGGTCCCTATTGGAATAGAGCCCCTAAGACAAGGGTGGGTCCCTATTGGAATAGAGCCCTAAGACAAAGGGGGGTCCCTATTGGAATAGAGCCCCTAAGACAAGGGGGGGGTCCCCACTGAGCCCCCTACGACCCCTATAACAATGGGGGTGTGACATTATTGTGCCCCCCCCAACACACCAACTCCTGAAAAGTGACCGTTTATTGGAAGCCAATGGGGGGGGGGGATGCACACACACAGGGGTCCCCCCCCCAGCTAAAAACACCCAATTTATCAAAACCCCCCCCTAAACCTCAAACCTACCCCCCCCCCCCTTTATTAGGCTGGAGGGGGGGGGGTGTGGAGAGAGGAAGGATGGGGGGGGGGAGGCTTAAACACCCCCCCCTCTCCCCTCCATAGGGTGCTATGGGAGAGGCCATTGTATGGGGGGGGTATAGAGGGGGCTATGTACATGATTGAGGGGGGGTCCTTAGCTCCGGGGGGGGTCCCTCTCTTTGCTGTCGCTGTCCTCGGGGTACGCGTGCCAGGTGAGGCGCTCCTCATAGAAGGCAATGACGATCTGGGGGCACTTGAGGTTGGCCTCCTTTGCCAGCACCAGGTCAGCTTCATCCGTGTCCTTCCTGGGGGGGGGACACCCACATAGAGAGGGGGTTATGGGGGGGGTTATGGTTATGGGGTGCCCCCCCATCCCTATGGGGCTGGTGGGGGCCTCACCATTTCATGAGGAACATGAGGTCCCCGCACGAGTCCGTGGCCCCGATGATCTTCTCCGGCTCCAGGCCCCGCTCGAAGCCCCGGGCGATGTCGTTGCTCTATGGGGCAAAGAGGGGTAAAAAGCGGGTTAAGAGGTGGTGATGGGGGGATAAGGGCCCAGTGGTGTCGTGGTGGTGGCACTGGGGCGCTGTCTCTTGGTCTCCATCCTTTGGTCCCCATCCCTGGTCCCCATCCTCATCCCTGAGTCCCCATCCCCATCCTTTGGTCCCCATCCTCATCCCTGAGTCCCCATCCCCATCCTTCGGTACCCATCCTCATCCTTTGATCCCCGTCCTCATTCCTGGTCCCCATCCTCATCCCTGGGTCCCCATCCTCATCCTTAGGTCTCTGTCCCCATCCCTGGTCCTCGTCCCCATCCTCATCCTTTGGTCCCCATCCCTGGCTGCCCATTCCCATCTCTATCCCTATTCCTATGTTCTTGTCCCCATCCCTGTATCCCAGTCCTCACCCCTGGGTCCCCATCCCCTCTCCTCCTGTATCCCTGTCTTTGCACCCCCTCCTCCTCCTGCATCCCTGTGTCCCCATCCCCAGGTCCCATCCCTGAATCCCCGTCCCTGGGTCCCATCCCTGCATCCCGGTCCCCATCCCTGCATCCCCATCCTCACCCTGGGTCCTGGTCCCTGTCTTTTGGGCCCCATTCTCCTCCTTTGTCCCTGTCTTCGCACCCCCATCCTCCTCCTGCATCCCTGGGTCCCCATCCCCATCCCTGGGTCCCATCCCTGCATCCCAGTCCCCATCCCTGCATCCCGGTCCCCATCCCTGCATCCAATCCTCACCCTGGGTCCTGGTCCCTGTCTCTTGAGCCCCATCCTCCTCCTGTATCCCTGTGTTCGCACCCCCATCCTCCTCCTGCATCCCTGGGTCCCCATCCCCATCCCTGGGTCCCATCCCTGCATCCCGGTCCCCATCCCTGCATCCCGGTCCCCATCCCTGCATCCCCATCCTCACCCCGGCTCCTGGTCCCTCTCTCTTGGGCCCCATTCTCCTCCTGTGTCCCCGGTGAGCAGCAGCCAGAGCCAAGGCCAAAGGAGCTGCTCCAGTCTAAACTCCCCGATAAGCCCAGTGCCATTCCCAGCAATCCCAGCGTTCCCAGCGGGAATGGGGCAGATAAGGCCCAAGGAAACAATTCCAGGAGCGTGACATCACCCTGGGAGGCGGCAGCAGGCAAGGATCCGTTGGGAATGAAGGGGCTGGGTGCTATGGGGTGATGGATGGGTGCTATGGGGTGATGGGTGCTATGGGGTGATTGATGGGTGCTATGGGGTGATGGGTGCTATGGGGTGATTGATGGGTGCTACAGGGTGATGGGTGCTATGGGGTGATGGGTGCTATGGGGTGATTGTGGGTGCTATGGGGTGATGGGTGCTATGGGGTGATGGGTGCTGTGGGGTGATGGGTGCTATGGGGTGATGGGTGCTATGGGGTGATTGATGGGTGCTACGGGGTGATTGATGGGTGCTACGGGGTGATGGGTGCTATGGGGTGATTGATGGGTGCTACGGGGTAATTGATAGGTGCTATGGGGCGATGGGTGTTAGGGGGTGATGGGTGCTATGGGGTGATTGATGGGTGCTACGGGGTGAGCTGGGGTGTGCTCCAGCAAGGGGGTATTGGCTCCTTGTCCCCATCCCTGGGTCTCCATCCCCATCCCTGCATCCCTGTGTCTCAAATCCCTGCCTCTGGATCCCCATCCTCATCCCTGCATCCCTGTCCCCATCCCTGAGTCTCCATCCTCGTCCCTGCATCCCTGTCCCCATCCCTGAGTCCCATCCTCATCCCTGGCCCCATCCCTGGTTGCCCATCCCTGTGATGGGGATGGCAGTTTCTTATCCCCATCCCTGTTTCTGGATCCCCATACTGACTCCTGCATCCCTGTCCCCATGCCTGTGTGCTTGTCCCCATCCCTGTCCCCCATCCCCATCCCTGTCTCCTGGTGCCCATCCCTGTGTCCCCTCCCCATCCCTGTCTCCCATCCCCATGTGCTTGTCCTCATCCCTGTGTCCCATCCCCATCCCCATCCCTGTATCCCGATGCCCATCCCTGTCCCCTGTCCTCATTCCTGTGTGCTTGTCTTCATCACTGTGTCTCATCCCCTTCCCTATTCCCCATTCCCATCACTCTCCCCCATCCCCATCCCTGTATCCTGGTGCCCATCCCTGTCCCCGTCCCACATCCCCATCCCTATTCCCCATCCTCATCCCTGTCCCCCATCCCCATCCCTGTATCCCATCCCCATCCCTGTATCCCATCCCCATCCCTGTATCCCGGTGCCCATCCCTGTCCCCCTCCCACTCCCTGTCCCCCATCCCCATCCCTATTCCCCATCCTCATCCCTGCCCCCCATCCCATCCCTGTATCCCATCCCCATCCCTGTATCATGTCCCCATCCCTGTCACCGTCCCCATCCCTGTATCCCTGTCCCCATCCCTATTCCCCATCCCTATCCCTATTCCCCATCTCCATCCCTGTCCCCCATCCCCATCCCTGTATCCCTGTCCCCATCCCCATCTCCCCATCCCCATCCCTGTATCCCTGTCCCCATCCCCATCTCCCCATCCACATCCCTGTATCCCTCTCCCCATCCCCATCCCTGTTCTCCCGTCCCCATCCCTGTATCCCTGTCTCTATCCCTGTATCCCTGTCCCCATCCCCTCTATCCCCGTCCCCATCCCTATTCCCCCATCCCCATCCCCGTACCCCCATCCCCACCCCTCACCTCCCTCTTCTTCTTGGCCTTGACATCGTCCCCAGCAGCCGCCAGCCCCCCTTTCCTCTTGGCTCCTTCCGCCTTCTCCCTTCCCCTGTTCCCGTCTCCTTCCTTCATCTTCTTGTACTTCCTCATGAACTCCGAGATCAGCTCCGGGCAATCCAGGTTCTTCTCGGGCTCCCAGGTGTTGTGTTCCCTGCCATGGGACAGCACCAGCGCCATCAGCACCATGGGATGCCATGGGATGGAGGCAGCTCCGCTCCGGCTCCATGGGGAAGCTCCAACCCTGGGTGGGATGGAGCAGCCAAACCTCCCCCATTGAACCCATCCCCATGCTCCTGAATCTCCCGTTCCCATGGATCCCATCGCTCCCACATCCATTGGAACCTGCTCTGAGCCTCCTCCATCCCAACATCCCCAACCCATCTCCCATAGGAGCATCCCCATCCTTACCCTCACTCCTGAATCTCCTGTTTCCTTTGACCCCATCACCCCTTATCCCATCACTCCCACATCCAGCTCTGAGCCTCCTCCATCCCAACATCCCCAACCCATCTCCCATAAGAGCATCCCCATCCTTACCCTCACTCCTGAATCTCCCGTTCCCATTGATCCCATTGCTCCCACATCCATTGGAACCTACTCTGAGCCTCCTCCATCCCAACATTCCCAACCCATCTCCCATAGGAGCATCCCCATCCTTACCCTCGCTCCTCAATCTCCCGTTTCCATTGATCCCATCGCTCCCACATCCATTGGATCCAGCTCTGAGCCTCCTCCATCCCAACATCCCCAACCCATCTCCCATAGGAGCATCCCCATCCTTACCCTCGCTCCTGAATCTCCCGTTTCCATTGATCCCATCACCCCTTATCCCATTGCTCCCACATCCAGCTCTGAGCCTCCTCCACCCCAACATTCCCAACCCATCTCCCATAGGAGCATCCCCATCCTTTCCCTCGCTCCTGAATCTCCCGTTTCCATTGACCCCATCACCCCTTATCCCATCGCTCCCACATCCATTGGATCCTGCTCTGAGCCTCCTCCATCCCCAACATCCCCAACCCATCTCCCATAGGAGCATCCCCATCCTTTCCCTCGCTCCTGAATCTCCCGTTTCCTTTGACCCCATCACCCCTTATCCCATCGCTCCCACATCCAGCTCTGAGCCTCCTCCATCCCCAACCCATCTCCCATAGGAGCATCCCCATCCTTTCCCTCACTCCCTTCCTCCCCATCCCCTTAGTGAAGAGGGATGCTCCAACGGCTCGGGATGGATCCCACAATCCCCAAAGCTGCCATTGCCTCCCTACTGTTCCCAATGGGACTCACTCGGAGAAGCCCTTCCACTTGAGCAGGTACTCGGCCTGGCCCTTCACCACGCGCCGGTCCAGCACCTTCTCCACCACATACTCCTCCTCGTCGGCCGAGGACGAGCTGTCTGCTGCCCGCTTGCTCCTCTTGCCCATAGCGCAGCACCCAAGGGACCTGGGGGGACCCCACACACACACAAAGGGGGGTTAAATAGGGATGAACCCCACCAAATGGTACCCAGGGCATCCTAAAGGCCCATAGGGGAGAGGTGGTGGGGATGGAGATGGGGATGTGAGAAGGGATGGATGAAAAGTGATGGGGTGATGGGGGGGAAATGGGGTGAAACTGAGGGGTTTTGGGTAAAGGGAACTGGGATTTGGGGTAAAAGGGTTTAAAATGATGGGGTTTTGGGAATGGCGAATAGGATTATGGGGGGAAATGAGTTGGAAATGAAGGGGGGTTAGGAAAGGGGAATGGGATTTGGGGGAAAATGGGGTGAAACTGAGGGGTTTTGGGTAAAGGGAACTGGGATTTGGGGTAAAAGGCTTTAAAATGATGGGGTTTTGGGAATGGGGAATGGGATTTGGGGGGAAATGGGTTGAAATTGAGGGGTTTTGGGTAAAGGGAACTGGGATTTGGGGTAAAAGGCTTTAAAATGATGGGGTTTTGGGAATGGGGAATGGGATTGGGGGGGAAATGGGTTGAAATTGAAGGGGGTTGGGAATGGGGAACTGTGATTTGGGGTAAATAGCTTGAAATTAAGGGGGTTTGGGAATGGGATTTGGGGTAAAAGCCTTGAAAATGAGGGGGTTTTGGGAATGGGGAACTGTGATTTGGGGTAAAAAGGCTTGAAAATGAGGGATTTTGTGCACAGGGAAATATGATTTGTCTTGAAAACTGTAAAAAATAGGAGGTATTAGGCACAGGAAAATGTGATTTGGGCCAAACCCCTTTAAAAACGGGGGGGTTTAGGTACAGGGAAGTGAGATTTGGGTGGTTTTGGGTGTAAAGGGCAGGTTTTGGGTGTAAAGGGGAGATTTGGGTTGTAAAAGGGAAAGTTTTGGGTGTAAAAGGGCAGGTTTTGGGTGGAAAAGGGAGATTTTGGGTGCAAAAGGGTGTATTTTGGATGTAAAAGTGGAGGTTTAGGGTGTAAAAAAGGAGATGTTGGTTGCAAAAGGGCTTATTTTGGGTGGAAAAGGGGAGGTTTTGGTTGTAAAAGGGCAGGGTTTGGGTTCAAAAGGGTACATTTTGGGTGCAAAAGTGGAGGTTTTGGGTATAAAAGGGCACGTTTTGGGTGGGAAAGGGAGACTTTGGATGCAAAAGGCTGTATTTCGAGTGTAAAAGGGTATATTTTGGGTGGAAAGGGGGGGGTTTGGGGAGAAAAAGGGCTGGGTTTGGGTATAAAAGTGCAGGTTTGGGGTCTAAAAGGGGAAGCTTTGGGTGTAAAAGGTCAGGTTTTGGGTGGAAAAGGAGAGGTTTTGCGTATAAAAGGGAAGGTTTTGCTTGTAAAGGGGAGATTTTGGGGATAAAAGGGTAGGTTTTGGGTGTAAAAGGGAAGGTTTTGGGTATAAAAGGGGAGGTTTTGGGTGTAAAAGGGCAGGGTTTGGAGCCCCGGGGGAGTCGCGCTCCCAACCGCTGCAGGGGCCCGGGGGGAACAAAAGAGCAGCGGCTTTCCGAGGGGGAAAGCGCCTTTTTGAGGCCAGAAGTGCCGGTTTAGGGCAAACCCCAACCGATGTAGGGCTAAAACGCCCCGGTTCGGTTCAAACCCGGCCCGGTGCCAGTTCCCGGTACCGGCCCCGCACAGCGGGGCCCGGGCCTCGGGGGCGGGCCAAAGAGCGCGCCACCTCCGGCCATTGGTCAACACCCAGCAGCGCCCGCCCTCTCATTGGCTGATAGTACCGCCGCTCGTCCCCACCCAGCCGCGATGCTATTGGCCCACTCACCCGTCACTCCCCGCTCTGTCCCGCCCCCTCCGCCGCTCCCATTGGCTGGCGAGCCTATCTATCCCGCCGGTAAGGCCCGCCCCTTAACACCACCACCACCAGCACCCCCCCCATACCGGCTCCCATTCACCGCCGGTACCGGTACCTGGGCGGGAGCGGCTCCGGCGCGGGCCCGTCCGCCGCTCTCTGCCCGCTCGCTGCGAACTGCCGCCGTTCCGCGCTCCGCCCGCCAAAACCGCCCGCAACGCGCAGGCGCCGCCGGCCCCGCTCCGCGCATGCGCGCGCCCTCCCGCCCGCCCGCCCCTCCTTGGTTCCAAACGCGCACACACGCCCCCCCCTCCGGTTCACACCGCTCCGGACCGGGCCCACCTCCGGTACCGGCGGGCGGCCCCGCCTGCTCCTGCTGCTCCTCCTCCTCCTGCTCCTGCTCCTGCTCCTGCTCCTCCTCCTCCTCCGCCGCTGCCGCCGCTAACAGCGCCCCGCTCAACGACCTGCGCCGGGCCCACCGCCGGGCAACGCTCCCGCCTGCCAATCGCAACGGCCGCGGCGTTGATGTGGCCAATCGGAAGGAGGCGGAGGCGGGACCGTTAAAGAGGAAGCCAATCACAGATGTCTCCAAGCCGGAGCGGGAAAAGCAGCGTAGGGCGAGGTTTTGTTGGCGTCACCCAATCCGCGAAGCGTAGAGGCGGGACTTTCCCTAAATGAACCAATGAGCAGCGAAGGCGCGGGGCGGTGCTCTCTCCCTCCACCAATAACCCTCCGCCTCTCCTTACACCGCCCCACCCCACCCCACGGCCCAATCAGCAGCAGCGCGGGGGAGTTCCGCGGGCGGCGCCGACCAATGAGAGAGGGCGGTGGGCGGGCGGCCGGGCGGGGGCGGCGGAGTGAGGCGGCGGCGCTGGGCTCGCTCGGCCCCTTTCGGAGCCGGCGCCTCGCGGAGGGAGCATCGCGGAGCCGCCGCCCCCAGCCCGCACCGCCCCGCGCCGCCGCCATGTCCAAGGCCGAGGTACGGGCCCCGCTCCCGCCGCCCTCAACCCGCACCGGCCCCGCCGCCTCCTTCATCCCCCCCCCCTCCTCCGCTTCCCGTTTCCCCCCTTCAACCGCGGCCTACAGCGCGCACTGCGCCTGCGCGCCTCCGCTGCCGACCCCGCGGCTTCTGCGCATGCGCCCGCTGGTGGTGGTGGTGGACGGGGGGGCTCATAACGCATGCGCGATGCGCGCTTTCCCCCCCCTCCCCATCCCTACCGCTGGTTCCCCCCCCCTTCCCAGCCACGTGCGCGCCTTTGTGCTGCGGGGGGCGATGGCGGCGCCGCGCATGCGCGGGAGCGGGGTAGGATGGAGGGGGGGGCACACATGGGACCCATAGGGGAATATAGGGGGGGGTCCTATAGGGCCGGGGGAGCCCCATAGAGGAGGGCCGGAGGTGATGAAGGCCTTAAAATGGGGTCTAGGGGGGGGTCTGGGGCTTGGGGGGGCCTTAATATAGGGGTTGGGGGCTCTATGGGTTTGGGTGACCCCAGAAACAAGGACATGGGGGGGGTTAAGGGTCCCTTTAGGCCCTGGGCAGCCCCACATGGGGCTAGGAGGGTTTAGGGGGGTCCTAGGGTGTGGGGCAGCCCCATAAGGGAGCAATAGGGAGTGGCTCAGGCCCCTGGAGGGAACAGGCAGCCCCATAGAGGGGGGCTGCCACGGCCTGCTCTGCCCCATAAGTGGGTGCTGGGGTCCCCATAGGGTGGCATTGGGGGGGTCAATGGGGCTGTGTGAGCTCAGAGATGGGGGTGACCAGTTCCCTATGGGGCTGGAGACCCCAGAAAGGGGCTTTTTGGGGTCCAATGATGGGGCTCTCCTTGGAGATAGGAGGGGCCCAAAGCAGCCCCAGGTGGGGCATTTTGGGGTGACTACAAAGGGGGGATCCCATGGAGGAGGTTTGGGGGTGCCCCCCCCCAGTGACCCCCATATTTCCCCTTCCCCACAGTCTCCAAAGGAGCCTGAGCAGCTCCGGAAGCTCTTCATTGGCGGCCTCAGCTTCGAAACCACAGACGAGAGCCTGCGCAGCCACTTCGAGCAATGGGGCACCTTGACCGACTGCGTGGTGAGCCCCCCAAGTCCTCTGTGCCCCCCAAGTCTGTTGTGCCCCCCAAGTCCATTGTGCCCCCTAAGTCCTCTGTGCCCTCCAGGTCCTCTGTCCCCTCCAAATCCCCTGTGCCCCCCAAGTCCTCTATGTTCTCCAGGTCCCCTGTGCCCCCCAGGTTGTCTGTGTCTCCTAGGTCCTCAGGTCCTCTGTGTCCCCCAAGTCCTCTGTGCCCCCTAAGTCCTCTATGTTCTCCAGGTCCTCTGTGCCCCCCAAGTCCTCTGTGCCCCCCAAGTTGTCTGTGTCTCCCAGGTATCCTGTGTCCCCCCAAGTCCTCTATGTTCTCCAGGTCCTTTGTGCCCCCCAGGACCTCTGTGTCTCCCAAGTCCTCTGAGCCCTCCAAGTCCCTTGTGCCCCCCAAGTGCTCTGAGCCCTTCAAGCCCCCTGTGTCCCCCATGTTCCTCGTGCCCCCCAAGTGCTCTCTGCCTCCCATCATTTTCACTGGGTGTCACCTCCGGGTGATGCTCCTGTGGTGCTGGGGAGGGAAGGGACCAGAGCGGGTGGGAGGGAGCTGCATGGGATGGGAAGGAGCTGGCGGTGATGGGAAGGAGCCGGAGGTGATGGAAAGGAGCTGGAGGTGATGGGAAGGAGCCGGAGGTGATGGGAAGGAACTGGAGATGATGGAAAGGAACTGGAGGTGATGAGGAGCTGGTGGTGATGGGAAGGAGCTGGAGATGATGGGAAGGAACTGGAGATGATGGGAAGGAACTGGTGGTGATGGGAAGGAGCTGGTGGTGATGGGAAGGAGCTGGAGATGATGGGAAGGAACTGGAGGTGATGGGAAGGAACTGGAGGTGATGGGAAGGAACTGGAGATGATGGGAAGGAGCTGGAGGTGATGGGAAGGAACTGGAGATGATGGGAAGGAACTGGTGGTGATGGGAAGGAGCCGGAGATGATGGGAAGGAACTGGTGGTGATGGGAAGGAGCTGGAGATGATGGGAAGGAACCGGAGGTGATGGGAAGGAACCGGAGGTGATGGGAAAGAACTGGAGGTGATGGGAAGGAGCCGGAGGTGATGGGAAGGAGCTGGAGGTGATGGGAAGGAGCCGGAGGTGATGGGAAGGAACTGGAGGTGATGGGAAGGAGCCGGAGGTGATGGGAAGGAGCCGGAGGTGATGGGAAGGAACCGGAGGTGATGGGAAGGAACTGGAGGTGATGGGAAGGAACTGGTGGTGATGGGAAGGAACTGGAGGTGATGGGACGGAGCTGGCGGTGATGGGAAGGAGCTGGCGGTGATGGGACGGAGCTGGCGGTGATGGGACGGAGCTGGCGGTGTTGGGCAGCAGCCCCATCCCTATGGACGTGGGGGGGTTCCCGGCCGGCTCCTGAGGCGTGGCCCTGTTCCCGCAGGTGATGCGGGACCCCAACACGAAGCGCTCCCGCGGCTTCGGCTTCGTCACGTACTCCTCGGTGGAGGAGGTGGACGCGGCCATGAACGCGCGGCCCCACAAAGTGGACGGCAGAGTCGTTGAACCAAAGAGAGCCGTGTCCAGAGAGGTGGGGGTGGGCCCTGATTGGGGGGGGGGGTTGGGCATCCCACACACATCCCAAAAGCAATCCCGCACTGATCCCATGCATTGACCCGACCCGTTCTAAATGCACCTCGAAACCCAGTCCCAGCACACCCCGAACCCATCCCGAACTGACCCCAAAACCTATCCCAAACTATCCCCAAAACCCCCTAATTTCATCCCAAACCTATCCCAAACCAGCTCCAAACCCACCCCAAACTCATCTTAATCACACCCCAAACCCATCCCAAACTGACCCACAAATCAGCTCCCAACCCCCCCAAACCTGTCCCAAACTATCCCCAAACCCTCCCCCAACACCCCCAATTTCATCCCAAACCCATCCCAAACATATCCCAAACCATCTCCAAACCCACCCCAAACTCATCTTAAACACACCCCAAACCCATCCTGAACTGACCCCCAAACCAGCTCCCAACCCCCCCAAACCTATCCCAAACTATCCCCAAACCCACCCCCAACACCCCCCAATTTCATCCCAAACCATCTCCAAACCCACCCCAAACTCATCTTAAACACATCCCAAACCATTCCCAAACCCATCCCAAGCTGCCTCCAAGCCTGTCGCAACCCCATGCCAAATGAATCCCGAACCGTTTCCAAACCCATCCCAACCTCATCCCAAACTTCCTTCAACTCCAACCCAATCCCAAACCAGTCCCAACCCATTTCAAAACCCCTCCCCAAACCATTCCCAGACCCATGTGATACCCGTCCCAGCCCAATCCCAAACCCCTCCCAACCCATCTCTAAACCCATCCCAAACCCATACCAAAGACATTTCAAACCATCCCCAGACGCATCCCAAACCACTTCCAAACCTGTCCCCAACCCATGTCCAAACCCACCCGAAACCCATCCTAAAACTCCCATCCAACTCCAACCCTCCCCAAACTATCTCTGAACCTGCCCCAGACCCAGCCCAACGCATCCCAAAGCATCCGCAAACGCATCCCAAAGCATCCCCAAACCTCCTCTCATCCCCAATCCCCCCCAATCCATCCCAAATTCAATCTAACCCCATCCCAAACCATCCACAAACCCATCCCCAAATGCAACCCAACCCCATCCCTCCCCAAACCATCCCCAAACCCATTGCAAACCTACGCCAACCCCATCCCAAACCACCTCCAACCCCACCCCCAACCCCATCTCCAAACGCATCCCTAAATGCACCCCAAACGCAAACCCAACCCATCCCAACCCCACCCCAACCCCATCAACTCCCCAATACCCCCAAATGCACCCTAACCCCATCCCAAACCCATCTCCAAACGCATCCCAACCCCCTCTCAACTCCCCAACTCTTCCCCAGCCCCATCCCAATCCCTCCCCAATCCCATCCCAATCCCTCCCCAGCCCCATCCCAATCCCTCCCCAACCCCATCCCAATCCCTCCCCAATCCAATCCCAATCCCTCCCCAACCCCATCCCAATCGCTCCCCAACCCCAACCCAGTCCCTCCCCAATCCCATCCCAATCCCTCCCCAACCCCATCCCAATCCCTCCCCAACCCCATCCCAACCCCTCCCCAACCCCATCCCAACCCCTCCCCAGCCCCATCCCAACCCCATCCCATCCAACCCCATCCCTAACCCCCCCCCGTCCATCCCCCAGGACTCCCAGCGGCCCGGCGCCCACCTCACCGTCAAGAAGATCTTTGTGGGGGGCATCAAGGAGGACACGGAGGAGCATCACCTGCGCGACTACTTCGGGCAGTACGGCAAGATCGAGGTCATCGAGATCATGACCGACCGCGGCAGCGGCAAGAAGCGCGGCTTCGCCTTCGTCACCTTCGACGACCACGACTCCGTGGACAAGATCGTCAGTGAGTACCTGGGGGGGGTGTAAATGGGGGGGGGTACCCCCGTTTTAGGCCTTGGGATGCATTGGGATGCGGCGGAAGCACTGATGGTTTCAAGCTGGTGCTGCTGGGGTGGTTTCTGGTGGAGTGGGATGCTGCTAGATCCGTCCGAACTGGTCTGGATGGGACGGAGCAGCCAAACCTCCATTGAACCCATTCCAGTGTCCCAACAGGGAAAAGCTTCCTTATCTCCAAGCTGAACTCCCCCTGTTCCAGTCTGAACCCATCACCCCTTGTCCCATAGTTCCAGTCCCTGCTGCAGGTCCTTCTCCAGCATCCTTGTAGCCCCCTTTGGCCACTGGAACCTTCTCCGAGCTCTCTTCTCCATCCTCAGTTCCCAAGCACCCAAACAGGATGCTCAGCCCTTAGGGATGATTTCCGGTGGAGCAGGATGCTCTGAGATCCATCTCACCTGGTCTGGATGGGATGGAGCAGCCAAACCTCCATTGAGCCCATCCCAGTGTCCCAACAGGGAAGAGCTTCCTTATCTCCAAGCTGAGCTCCCCCTGTTCCAGTCTGAACCCATCACCCCTTGTCCCATAGCTCCGGATGCAGGTCCCTCTCCAGCATCCTTGTAGCTCCCTTCAGGCACTGGGACCTTCTGTGAGCTCTCTTCTCCACCCCCAGTATTCCCAGTTCCCAAGCACCCAAATAGGATGCTCAGCCCTTAGGGATGCTTTCTGCTGGAGCAGGGTGCTCTCAGATCCATCTGACCTGGTCTGGATGGGATGGAGCAGCCAAACCTTCTCCATTGAGCCCATCCCAGTGCCCCAACAGGGAAGAGCTTCCTTAGATCCAAGCTGAACTCCCCCTGTTCCAGTCTGAACCCATCACCCCTTGTCCCATCGCTCCAGTCCCTGATGCTGGTTCCTCTCCAGCATCCCTGTACCCCACTTCAGGCACTGGAAGCTGCTCTCCTCCCGCCCCAGTGTTCCCAGCCTGGCTCCTATGGGAGCTGCTCCATCCCCTCCTCATCCTCGTGGCCTTGCTCCAGCAGCTCCGTGTCCTTCAGGACACCACAACCGGATGCAGCATCCAAGTGGGATCTCCCCAGGATGTAGCTAAAGGGGGGCAGGATCCCCTTCCTTGAGCTGCTGCTCACGCTCTGGGGGTGCAGCCCAGCACATGGGGGCTCAATGTGGATCCTGGGGAGCTTCTCCTTGTCCAGCACCCCCAAATCCCAACCTGGGATTGCTCCATCCATGGCCAGGACCTTGGCCTTGAGGTTGCCATTGGCAGCTGCCATTGGATCCAGATCCCTTTGGATCCAGTCCCTTCCCTCCAGCCATCACCACTCTTGGGCATGGAGCCATTGCCCATTCCTTACCCACTGGTGTGCATCCATCCCATATGGTTCCCCATTGGAAAACCAGGGATCGGGGGGGTGGTGGCACTGAGGATGCTCAGGGCAGCTCAATGGGGACGGTGCCATCCCCTTGGTACCACACGGGTCCAGGTGGGTGAGGTTGGGGTTGATGTGCCCATGGGGCACCCCCCAAACCATCCCCCCCACTTAGAATAAGGTACCACTGATCGGCAGCTCCTGAGCATCCCTTTGAGGGGGGTGTGGGGGTATCTGTGGTCTCATTCCATTCATCCCATACACATCTCCATTGGAGAACCAGGGATCTGTGGGATGGTGGCACTGAGGGTGCTCAAAGCATCCCCCCTCGTTAGATAGCACTGATTGGCATCAGTGATGCTCATGAGCATCCCTTTGTTGGGGCAGGGGGTGTTCCCATTCCATCCATCCCATCCACATCTCCATTGGAGAATCAAGGATGCTCAGGACAGCTCAGTGGGTTAGGGTTAGCTTTAGACCCCCCTCCCCAAAACATCCCCCCTCTTAGGTAGCACTGGTTGGCATCAGTGATGCTCATGAGCATCCCTTTGTTGGGGCAGTTGGCATTCCCATTCCATCCATCCCATCCACATTTCCATTGCAGAATGAGGGATCTGGGGGGGGTATCGGCAGCTCAATGGGTTAGGGTTAGCTTTAGGGCGCCCCCAAAGCATCCCCCCCACTTACAGTGAGGTAGTGCCAATTGGCATCAGTGATGCTCATGAGCATCCCTTTGTCGGGGTGGAGCGGGGAGGGGGGGGCATTGCTTCCCCATCCATTGCATCCATGTCTCCCCTTTGGGATCCGGGACGGCAGCCGTGTCCGGGGTGCCCTTTCCCCCCCTCATTCCCTTCCTATCCCCCCCCAAACAAACCCCCCCCATTTTCCCAGTCCAGAAATACCACACTGTGAACGGGCACAACTGCGAGGTGAGGAAAGCCCTGTCCAAGCAGGAGATGGCCAGCGCCTCGGCCAGCCAGCGAGGTGAGCCCCCCCCTCAGCCCCCCCTCTGCCCCCCGTCCCCCCCGCAGCCCCTTCACTGCGCTGCCTGCGCTGTTCCTAAAGGCTGTCCCCTGCCTCCTCCTCCTCCTCCTCCTCCTCCTCCTCCTCCTCCTCCTCCTCTCTTAGGCCGCAGCGGCTCCGGTAACTTCGGTGGTGGCCGCGGTGGCGGCGGCGGTGGTGGCTTCGGGGCCAATGACAACTTCAACCGTGGTGGCAACTTCGGGGGCCGTGGTGAGTGGGATGGGAACCCCCCCCCCCCCCTTCATCCCTATCCCTTTGGTACCCTCCCTCCGTCATCCCCATCCCTTTGGTACCCTCCCTCCGTCATCCCTATCCCTTTGGTACCCCCCTTCCCCTTCATCCCCATCCCTTTGGTACCCTCCCTCCTTCATCCCCATCCCTTTGGTACCCTCCCTCCTTCATCCCCATCCCTTTGGTACCCCCCCTCCTTCATCCCCATCCCTTTGGTACCCCCCCTCCGTCATCCCCATCCCTTTGGTACCCTCCCTCCTTCATCCCCATCCCTTTGGTACCCTCCCTCCTTCATCCCCATCCCTTTGGTACCCTCCCTCCGTCATCCCCATCCCTTTCCCATCCCTCACTTCCTCCTCCTTCATCCCCATCCCTTTGGTACCCTCCCCTTATCCCCATCCCTTTGGTACCCTCCCTCCTTCATCCCCATCCCTTTGGTACCCCCGCTCCTTCATCCCCATCCCTTTGGTACCCTCCCTCCTTCATCCCCATCCCTTTGGTACTCTCCCTCCTTCATCCCCATCCCTTTGGTACCCTCCCTCCTTCATTTCCATCCCTTTGGTACCCTCCTTCCTTCATCCCCATCCCTTTGGTACCCTCCCTCCGTCATCCCCATCCCTTTGGTACCCTCCCCCCTTCATCCCTATCCCTTTGGTACCCTCCCTCCTTCATCCCCATCCCTTTGGTACTCTCCCTCCTTCATCCCCATCCCTTTGGTACCCTCCCTCCTTCATTTCCATCCCTTTGGTACCCTCCTTCCTTCATCCCCATCCCTTTGGTACCCTCCTCCCGTTCATCCCCATCCCTTAGGTACCCCCCCCCTTCATCCCCATCCCTTTGGTACCCTCCCTCCTTCATCCCCATCCCTTTGGTACCCCCCCCTCCTTCATCCCCATCCCTTTGGTACCCCCCCCCTCCAAAGCAGATGGGAACCCCCCCCTTCATCCCCATGCCTTTGGTACCCCCCTATTCATCCCCATCCCTTTGGTACCCCCCCCTTTCCAAAGCACCGCCATGGCTCCAGCTGCCTCCTCCTCCATCATCCACATCAGGATGCAGCCCTGGTTCCTCTGACTCCCATCCCCATCCTTCATCCCCATCCATCCCTATGGCCCCCCCCTTTACCCCAAGCACCCCCCCACAGAGCAGGTCACCCATGCCCCCCCCCCCCGTTGCCTCAATCTCATCTCCCCCCTTCCCTCCCCTCCCTTAGGTTACGGCGGTGGCAGCGGCCCCGGTTACTCCGGTGGCGGTGGCGGCGGCGGCGGCGGTGGCAACCGTGGCTACGGGGGGGGCAGCAGCACCTACGATGGCTACAACAACGGCGGGGGGGGCTTCGGGGGCGGCAGCGGGGGCCGGCGGCCGGCTCGGGGCCCGGCGCTGGCCGTCAGGAACGGGCTCTCCGAGGGGGGCACAGGTGAGGGGTGAAGGCATTGGGGGGGGCATGGGAACCATTGGGGGCCTATGGGGTCCCCATCACTACCATCACCACCCCCCCTCCCCAGGTATCTGGTACCCCATTGGGGGGGGACAGACTTTCCATTAACCCCCCCTCCCCCCATAGTGCCCTTGGTGCTGTGGGGCTCCCAGGTGAACCATTGGGTGCCCTTGGGTTCCCCATTAACCGTACTGGTACCCCAATTGGGCCATTGCGGGGAGCAGGTTCCTCATTACCCCCCCCTCCATATGCCCCTGGGTGCTTTGGGGCTCCCAGTTGAACCCATTGAGTGCCCTTGGGTTCCCCATTAACCCTACTGGTGCCCTGGGGCAGCCTGTTAACTCCCCCCTCCAGGTATCTGGTACCCCATTGGGGGGGGCAGGCTTCCTGTTAAACCCCCCTCATAGTGCCCTGGGTGCTGTGGGGCTCCCAGTTGAACCATTGGGTGCATTTGGGTTCCCCATTAACACCCCCTGGTACCCCAATTGGACCATTGAGGGGGGCAGGTTCCCCATTAATCCCCCCCACATAGGCCCCTAGGTCCTTTGGGGCTCCCAGTTGAACCCATTGGGTGCCCTTGAATTCCCCATTAACACCCCCCGTCCCAGGTATCTGGTACCCCAATTGAACCAGTGGTTCCCCATTAACCCTAATGGTGTCTTGGGGCTGCCTGTTAACTCCCCCCCCGCCCCATGTATTTGGTACCCCAGTTCAACCATTGAGGGGGGGCAGATTCCCCATTAACCCCCCCCTTAGCCCCCTGAGTCCTTTAAGGCTCCCACTTAAACCATTGGGTGCCCTTGGATTCCCCATTAACCCTAATGGTGCCTTGGGGCTGCCTGTTACCCCCCCAGTACCTTGTACCCCAGTTGAACCATTGGGGGGGGGGATGCTGCATGCTCCCCTTTACCCCCCCCCAATACCCCCGGATGCTTTAAGTCTCCCTGTCCCCCCCCACACTCCCCATGCTTTGTGCTCCCAATTGACTCCCCCCATAGCTCCCAGTGGGCCCCATCATTAACCCCCATAACCCCCCCTCAATGAGTGCTCACCCTGACCCTCTCCCCCCCCCCCCGTGCCCCCCCCCAGGCAGTAACTTCGGCGGGGGGGGCAGCTACAACGACTTTGGCAGCTACAACCACCAGATCTCCAACTTCGGGCCCATGAAGGGCGGCAACTTCGGGGGCAGGAGCTCGGGGCCCTACGGCGGAGGTGAGTGCCCCATTGCCCCCCATTGCCCCATTGCCCCCATTGCCCCCCATTGCCCCCCATTGCCCCCCATTGCCCCCATTGCCCCCATTGCCCCCATTGCTCCCATTGCCCCCCATTGCCCCCATTGCCCCCATTGCTCCCCATTGCCCCCATTGCCCCCCATTGCCCCCATTCCCCCCATTGCCCCCATTGCCCCCATTGCCCCCATTGTCCCCATTGCCCCCATTGCCCCCATTGCCCCCATTGCCCCCATTGCCCCCATTGCTCCCCATTGCCCCCATTGCCCCCATTCCCCCATTGCCCCCCATTGCCCCCATTGCCCCCATTGCCCCATTGCCCCCCATTGCCCCCATTGCCACCCCCCATTGTCCCCCATTGCCACCACTCTTCCACCCCTCTTCCGCCCCTTTCCACCACTCTTACACCCCCCTTTCCCTCCCTTCCCCCAACTTTCACCCCCTTCCCCCCTTTTTCCCCCCTTTTTCCCTTCCCCCCTTTTCCCCCCTTTTCTACCCCCTTCCCCCCTTCCCCCCCCCTTTTCCACCCCTTGCCCCCCTTTCCACCCCCATTTCCCCCCTTTCCCCCCGTTTCTCCCCCTTTCTCCCCCCATCCCCCCCCATATCACCCCCTTTTTAACCCCTCTCCCCTCCACCCACAGCCGGTTATGGGAGCTCAAGCGGCGGCGGCAGCTACGGTGGCGGGCGGAGGTTTTAACACCCCCCCCAGACACAAAGGTGAGGAGCTGGCACCTTCCAAACGGGGCTCTCCCCCCCCTCTTTCTCCCAACGGACAAAGCAGGACGAAACCATCACAAATCCCTCAAACCCCATGGAATTACCCCAAAACCGCAGCGGCAGCAGCAGCATCCCATGGGGTGCCCTCTATGGGATCCTAACTCCACTGTCATCCAACAGGAGAGACGAGGCACAGAAGGGACAGGGAAGCCACCACAAGTCACCCCTATGGGGGTGTCATCTGTGTGTGTGTGTGCCCCCCCCTTCCAATGGCAGTTTAAAGGGGGGGGTCCCCCAACCATCGCTGCCTCGAAGCCACCCCAATGTCCTTTGTGTGTCCTTGCGCCCCAGGACTGTGTTTGTGACTCATTGTACACCAGGTTCTTTTAGAAAGGGGTCTTTTTTGGGGGGGGGGGAGGGGTGATAAGGGGGGGAGGGGCGGTATTCCCATCTTGTGGGATCATTCCAATGAGAGCCCCCCCCCCCCTTTCCCAATGGCCTGGAGGAGGGGGGGGTGGTTTTAGTTGCGCTGTCGCTCGCTGTGGAAGCACCTCCAGATGCTGAATAAATGTCTCTTTTTTTTTTTTCTTTTTTTTAAGGGATTTTCCTCATTTTTAACCATTTTTTCCTTAATTTCAAGGCGGGGGGGGCTTTAATCCCCCTCCAGTTTAAATATGAATCCAGTTCGGGGGCACTTCAGGACCCAACGCATCAACTTTAGGCTCAGCACAGGCTCACTCCCAGCCCCATTTTGCCCTTTATAGATCCCATATCCCCCCCCATCCATGCCCCATTGACCCCAAGGTGTCGCCCTATAGCTTTATATCCCCCTATAGCTTTATGTCCCCCTATAGCTTTATATCCCCCTATAGCTTTATACCCCCTAACAGCTTTATGTACACATACACCCCATGGAGCATCACAGAGCAGGGATGCTCAAGGTAAGAGCATCTCCTGTATCCCCATCACCCCCCAGCCAATGGGGACCCCCCTTCGCTGGGGAAGTGACAGGGATGTGGTGCTCTACGGGGTGTGGGGGCCACCCAAGGAGGCCATGGGGCTCCATGGTGTGCACAGTGGAACCCAGTGGTCCCACTGTTTCCCATGGGGTTTAAGGGCTCACCCGAGGGTGCAGTTGTGGGGTATCCATGGGGTGGCGGGCACAATAGGGGTCTCAATGGCACAGGGATGCTGATGGGGTTCTGGTGGGGGCGAGTGCTGCGGGCGGCAGGGGGGCGATAGGACCCTGTAGTGCTGGGGGCGTGGCCACGAGGAAAAAGGCGTGGCTAAGCAAAGCGTCTGGGTGATGACCGCACCTCCGTGGCTCTGATTGGCTGCGGTGGTGACTGGCTCCGCCCCTCTGGGTGTCCTCCCCAGGGTCCTAAAGCCTCTCTCCTGCCGCAGCTGGGGGCCGCCCCCATTGCACACACGTGATCCCCACAGCACACGTGTTCTCCATTGCACACACGTGATCCCCATAGCACACACCACACACACACCCCAACACACCCCACACACACACCCCAACACACCCCACACACACACCCCAACACACACCCACACACACAACCCACACACACACGTGTTCTCCATTGCACACACGTGATCCCCACAACACACATGTGTTCTCCATTGCACACACGTGATCCCCATAGCACACGTGTTCTCCATTGCACACGTGTTCTCCATTGCACACACGTGATCCCCACTGCACATGTGCGTGCCCATTGCCCCCCTCATGACCCCGCCTCCCAGCCTGGCCCCGCCCACCACGGGGACGGGCTTGAGCCTAAAAGGGCGTGGCCAAGCGCTGACCGGGAACATTTAAGACTTCCGGTCATGTGGCCGGAGATGTGGCCAATCAGCGCGCCCACCCGGCAAAGCGGTTACGTCAGCGCTTCCCTGGTCTCCATGGCAACTGCACCGCCCTTCCCCTCTTCCGGGAGCGCGGCGCGGCGATGACGTAGGAGCCGCGCCACCAATCAGCGACCGTTTGGGGCGGGGCGGGAAAAGCCGGCCCGTCCCCCGCGCTGAACCGAGCAGCGATTGGTCTGCCCTGGAAGCGTTTGGCCCAATCAGAGCGGCGGGGCCGGGCTCGGAGGCTTGATTGGCAGGCGGGCAGCCAATGAGCTGCGAGGGCTCTTCCGGCTCCACGTCGGCAGCGGCGAGCGCAAAATGGAGGCGCTGATCCTGGTAGGGGCGAGGGGGGAGCGGGGCCGGGGGGGGCAATGGGGGGTGGGGGGATGGGGGGTAATTGGGGGTCAATGGGGGGCAATGTGTTAAAGGAGGGGTAGTGAGGGGGCAATGGTGATAGAAGGGGGGGCAATGGGGGTGAATGTGGCTCAATGGGGTGCCCATAGGGCAAATGGGGGGCACTGAGGGGTTAATGGGGGTGAATAGGGGGGTAAAGAGGGGGGCAATGGGATACCGCAGTGGGGGGGCAGGGGGGGTTATAAGGGGTTGCCTATGGGGTAAGCAGGGGAGCAATGGGGACAAGGGGGGGGATCAATGCCAGGGTGCTACAGGGGTTAAATGGGGCTCAATGGGGACTCAATGGGGGTCAGTTCCAGTTCCACCTTGTCCTGTTTGGGGGGTGCCAGTCCCTGCTGGGGGGCTGTGGCCATTGATGCCCATTGGAGCCCATTGATAGCCATTGGAGCCCATTGATAGCCATTGGAGCCCATTGATACCCATTGGAGCCCATTGATACCCATTGGAGCCCATTGATGCCCATTGGAGCCCATTGATACCCATTGGAGCCCATTGATGCCCATTGGAGCCCATTGGAGCCCATTGGAGCCCATTGGAACCCATTGGAGCCCATTGGAGCCCATTGGAGCCCATTGGAACCCATTGGAGCCCATTGAACCCCATTGGAGCCCATTGGAGCCCATTGGAGCCCATTGGAGCCCATTGGAGCCCATTGGACCCCATTGGAGCCCATTGGAGCCCATTGGAGCCCATTGAACCCCATTGGAGCCCATTGGAGCCCATTGGAGCCCATTGAACCCCATTGGAGCCCATTGAACCCCATTGAACCCCATTGGAGCCCATTGGACCCCATTGAAGCCCATTGGAGCCCATTGGAGCCCATTGGAGCCCATTGGAGCCCATTGGAGCCCATTGGAGCCCATTGGTGCCCATTGGAGCCCATTGGTGCCCATTGGAGCCCATTGACACCCATTGGAGCCCATTGACACCCATTGGAGCCCATTGGTGCCCATTGGAGCCCATTGGTGCCCATTGGAGCCCATTGGTGTCCATTGGAGCCCATTGGTGCCCATTGGAGCCCATTGGCACCCATTGGCGCCCATTGACACCCATTGGAACCCATTGGCAGGCACTGAGGTGGCGGTGCCCAGGGCGAGGTTCTGTCCTACACTCGGCTGTGGCTCAGGGCAGTCAGTGCATCACAGAACTTGGTCCTGGGTGCTGAGCAGCAGCGCTGGGAGCGGGATGGGACTGGGATGGGACCAGAAAGGGACCAGGAAGTGATCAGGATGGGACTGGTCTGGAACTGGGAAGGGACCAGGATGGGATAAGGAAGGGATCAGGATGTGACCAGAAAGAGATCAGGATGGGACCAGGATGGGATCCAGATGGGACCAGTATGGGATCAGGATGGGACCAGAAAGGCACTGGGATGGGACCAGAAAGGGACCAGGAAGTGATCAGGATGGGACTGGTCTGGAACTGGGAAGGGACCAGGATGTGACCAGGAAGGGACCAGAAAGGGATGAGGATGGGATTGGGAAGGGACCAGGATGTGACCAGGAAGGGACCAGAAAGGGATCAGGATGGGATTGGGAAGGGCTGGAAAGGGACCAGGATGGGACCGGGAAGGGACTGGGATGGGATTGGGAAAGGACCAAGAAGGGACCAGGAAGGGCTCAGGATGGGATTTGGGAAGGGACCAGGATGGGACCGGGATGGGACTGGGTTGGGATCAGGATGGAACCAGGAAGGCATCAGGATGGGACCAGAAAGGGATCAGAATGGGACTGGGAAGGGACTGGGATGGGACCAGAAAGGGACCAGGAGGTGATCAGGATGGGACTGGGATGGAACTGGGAAGGGACCGGGATGGGCTCAGGATGGGACCAGGAGGGGATGAGGATGGGATTGGGAAGGGACTGGGTTGGGATCAGGATGGAACTGGGATGGAACCAGGAAGGCATCAGGATGGGACTAGAAAGGGATCAGAATGGGACTAGGATGGGACTGGGATGGGACCAGAAAGGGACCAGGAAGTGATCAGGATGGGACTGGGATGGAACTGGGAAGGGACCAGGAAGGGATCAGGATGGGATCAGGAGG